ACAAACTGCATAGAGCTTGGAGCAGTTCCTGGTAATTTTTACCTCCAACATGAGAGGCGCCTATTGTCACAAACTGTCCACAGCACAAATTACAGTGTTCTTAAACTGTCACTGCTACAAGTGCAGTCCATGCAAAAATGAGCTGCAGGTGAGAGATGAAACTGGGCTTGCCCACTGTAGTTTTCACCAGGCAGCGTTACAGCCACTTCCTGGAAAAGGCTCCTCTGCACTGCCCACAAGCCCTGGCTCCACTCTGGATGCACAAAAATTATTATGTCATGCAATATCCTGAACTCATTGAGAAAGGCTCTGCTCCTAACTGTCATGCAAGCAACAACCCTTCCAGTTCTCGTCTTTTCAAGCAAGAGCCTCGCAGACATCAGGCATTCTAGAAATTTCTATCAGTGAACAGTGGTGAAGAAACCCAGATGTTGGTCTCTCTCTGCATCCCCTTAGCCCATAAACTGAAATATACCCAGATTTCATCACAGTTAATTACATCAGCTCGTATTTCTGACTGGCCCTCAGACTCAGCTGAGACAGCAGCCTGGGTATGCAGGTTTGTAGAAGCCAAAAAGACTTGCTAAATTTGTTAAACCAGAAATATTTGTTAGAAAATGCTTGCTCAGAGTTTACAGCTAAACTTGGCCTATGCAGATATATTATTATGTGATTGCAACATACATGGTCAATGTTTGATGCTGTGTGGTACAAGTCATGGTGAGGCTCACAGCACAGCTCTTTGGTGCCTGACAAGGCCATCTCCCACCACCTCCCAGCTGTTTACCGAGTGTCAATCAGCAGGCGTCCCAAGCTGTGATCTGCAAATCCTGTTTTGCTTTTGCAAGTACCTTGCATTTTTACCCTGGACTAGCCCACCAATGCCAGAGCAAAGTGTATACACGTATGTGTATGCATACAAGACACAATGTGGATTGCTTGTGTCCGGCCATGGAATCATGTTTGTAGTTTAGTGACAGAACAGACAATGGAGCCAACATTGCATCTGCCATTGGCAGAAGAGGAAAAAGGTGGGCAAGAGCAAGCCTGCTGCTCCCAGTGTTGCCTGAGGAGGAAGGTGGTCAATGCTGTGGATGGTGACTGCTGCTGAAAGGAATCCCAGCCCCCATTCCCCTTCAAGCACTTTCTTCTTCTCAAGGTTTTTTGTCATCAAAAAAGCACTCTACTAAGTGCTCAGTGGGCAATGTGCAGCTGTAGTTTTCCTTCATATCACATCTAGATTCAGATCTGCAAGATCTACTGAAACTACTGTCTTCTGTGTCTTTGCCTAGCTAATGAGGTCTTTAGGTAAAAGTGTGAAGAGCATGTAGTCATTGCCTTCATGAAAGAGGCATCTGCAGTTGTTTCCTATCAGCTTTCCTTTCAATGCAGAGAGAGAACCTGCCTGAAGCAGGTAAGTGCTGAGCAGCTGCTGCTCTTCCTTTGCAGAGCTGGGCTTCTGGAAGAGCCATTCACCTCACAATACCTCATGGAAATATTTTATTTAAAAGATGTGTAGACAAAAACTCTAAGCAGCTGTAACCAATAGGAAAATGCAGGCGTAGTTGACAGCAACAATTTACCACATGCTTGCAAGGATACGTGCAAGGCAAGGCAGCGGGAGGTGTGAGGTGTATTTTCCCCACACTCTCATTGTCCCCTCGGGGGTGGAGACTTCCTTTATTTATTGGTAGACTTTGGTCACCGCAGTATAGACCTCAGCTTTAGCTCTACCTTGCACTTGCCATTTCTAGGTTTCTCTCTTAGGGTAATCTTTTTTCTAACTCTTTAAATTTCTTTGACAAAAAGCTGTACCTTTTTGCTTTATTCCTGACCTAAGATGCCATCTGGAAATGTTCTTAGTGTCATGCAGTAACTTGCAATTAAACACATTAGTGTTAAGATAAGAGTTTTGTGTGTATAAACTTGTCAAGAGTAAAAAACATGGAAGTAACAGGTGAATGCACAGCATGCATGTCTTTGCTTACTGGTGTTCAGAGGGTGTTTACCTGGTTTTTATCACAGGGTGTTCTTCCCACTCTGTGGTCAAGATGCTGGTGGTCACTGTGTCTCACACTTTGTTTATCTATTAAAATTTTTGTATAGTTCTACAGCTCATTTTGATGAACACTTTTAAAACCTCTGCATGAACAAAGAATTGCCAAGTCTTTTCTGGAACTTTCCATGGCTTCATGACTGAGGCTGACCAGGACATCACAAACACCCATTTTTTCTCAAGTTCACCTCTTAATTTTGAACAGAAAAGACAAGAGTTCCTAGACACAATTTCCTCATTCCCGATAGAGTCCTGACTTATTCCTGTAATTTATCCCAATCTGTGGCTTTAGTGAGGTAGATGACATACAGAAAAATAATAAAGTCATATAACTAACCATCCCCACCACTACACCTGATCCTTTATCACACTTCATCTGCACAAAGGCGGGAGAATAGAGATTTTGCTATCAGCATGCTGTAACTCTGGCGTATCCTAACTGTCAACTACTTGTCATCAAATATTTCTTGGACTTTTCTGAAATGGGTGAGGATTTGTGAAAAAGAAGGGAGAACTATCAAAGTATCATCTTTTGGCATTCCCTTGTCTTCTATGGATGATCAGCAAGGCAAATCCTGGAATTCATCATGTAGGTCCAATGTGACAGGTATTACTGGCTTGGAGTGGCAGTAGTGGTGCCAGATGTCACTACCCTGAACTGAAATGGCAGGGGTCATTGCCTCAGGGCAAGGGGGTGACCAGCAAGGCTTGGCAACAGGGAAATCATGACACATCACAAAGTCTTCATAGTTTAGGCACTATGTCCTAGGTGTCAGAGCTGGGAGGTGAACATACAAACAGCATGTTTTGAAATCAAGAAGACCCTTGCCAGTGCCAGCACCTGTGTGTCTGGACTCCATTTTGACCTCAAGACTGGGCTGTATTGCAGGGGTCCTAGATTCTTCTCCCATCTTTTGAGGATTCCATCTCTCCTGCTATTAGAATCACAGAATGGTTTGGGTTGGAAGGGACCTTTAAAGGTCATCCAGTCCAACCCCCCTGCAGTGAACAAGCACTTCTTCAGCTAGATCAAGTTGCTCAGAGCCCAGTTCAACCTGACTTTGAATGTTTCCTGGGATGGACTCCTACCACCTCTCTGGGCAACCTGCACCAGTGTTTCACCACCCTCATTGTAAAACATGTCTGCCTTATATCTAGTCTAAATCTACCCTCTTTTAATTTAAAACCATCACCCCTTGTCTGTTGCAATACGCCTAGCTAAAAAGACTGTCCCCATCTTTCCTGTAGCCCCCCTTTAAGGACTGGAAGGCTGCCATAAGGTCTCCCCGGAGCCTTCTCTTCTCCAGGCTGAACAGCCCCGACTCTTTTTCTTCATAGGTAAGGTGTTCCAGATGCCTGATCATTTTTGTGACACTCCCATAGGGTCACGTCCTTGCTGAGGGCTCCTGAGCTGGACATGCTACTCCAGATGAGGTCTCACTAGAGTGGAGTAGAGCAGCAGTATTGACTCCCTTGATCTGCTGGCTACGCTTCTTTTCATGCAGCCCAGGATACAGTTGGCCTTCTGGGTAGCAAACACTGGTTCATGTCCAGCTCATGTCCAGCTTTTCATCTACCGGTACCATCTCCACCTGGCTATACTCAATTCCATCATTCCTCAGCCAGTGTTGATACTGCAGATTGCCCTGACCCAGGTGCAGGAACTTGCACTCGGCTTTGTGGAATGCCATGAGGTTCACACAAGCCCGCTTGTCCACTTCCCCTTGGATGGTATCCCATCCCTCAAGCAAGTTAACCACACCACTCACCTTGGTTTTATCTGCAAACTTGCTGAGGGTGCATTTGATCCCACTATCTATGCCATTGTTGAAGATATTAAACAGCACTGGTCTCAGTACAGATCCTTGAGGGACACCACCATCTCCATCTGGACACCAAGCTGTTGACCCCTACCCTCTGAATTTAACCATTCAACCAATTCCTTATCTACTGAACAGTTTACCCATCAAATCCATATCTCGCCAATGTAGAGAGAAGGATTTTGTGGGGGACCACATCAAAGGCTTTACAGAATTCCAGATAGACAACATCCATAGCTCTTCCATTGTCCACTGATGTAGTCACTCCATCATAGAAGGCCGCTAGGTTGGTCAGGCAGGACTTGACCTTGGTGATGCCATGCTGGCTGTTTCAAATCACCTTCTTGTCCACCATCAACCTTAGCCTAGCTTCTAGGAGGATCTGTTCCATGATCTGCCCAGACACAAAGGTGAGGCTGACAGGCCAGTAGTTCCCAGGGTCCTCCTTTCCACCCTTTTTAAAAAAGGTGAGACAAGAACTTCTTGACAAAATAGATATACTTTGAAAATAAGAATTGAGCAGAGGGGGGAGAATGCTCTGTTTTGAAAAATCTCATTCTCAAATATTGCTGATTAGCTTTCAGCAAAACTTGAGAAGAAAAAACAAAGAAAGAAACCCATACCACAGCAAAACTCAGACAACTGAACAACTGTGTTAGAAGGCAAGTCTGGCAAGGAAAGGAACCAAACCAAGCGGCATTTTTCAAAAGTAAGAACAAGAGCACTATTTGCAGGACTTTGAGCCACTTTAAATATAAAAGTTAACTTGATTATACTTAGGTGTCAACTTAGATATTGCATAGCTTAGAAGTGTGATACCCGACTCAAATATCTCTGATAATGAGACAAAAGACTCTTCTCTTCTGATGTGGACTGTGACCACTGTAGACAAACCATTTCTCATTTCCTGCTGTCACTGCAATCATGAGCTGTAAGCACAAGCTGTAACCAGCTTTGCCTCGGACAGGTCAGTGTTCACAACACACAGGAAGCTGTGCATGGACTTAGCACCTCCTGTTTCAGCTGTCTGCAGACAGCTGCATTTGGAATAATCTTTTAATGCCAGGCCTCTGACTTTCTCTGGAATATCTCTGAAAGGCAAGAGGCCTTGTTTACTTTTGTCCATGGAGTTCCCATTTTTTCATGGAAAGATTACTAAAAGAACCTGTGCAGAACTGCTGAACAAGAACAGAAAGAATGGTAGCTATTTAATACGAGAGAGTGAAAGTGTGGAAGGAGCCTTGTGTCTCTGTGTTTTGTAAGTACTCTAAATTTTTTATGAGCTTTCAGGTAGATCCATAGGCAAGCATTCATCTTCTCTAATTCTAATAGTTCTTCACTAATATTAACAGACTCCAAGGTGATGTGTATACGTATTCAAGTAATGCTGGTTGCCTTCGACTTCCTTTACAGTGAGTGGCGAAAGGGTGGCAATTGCCAAAGACATTTTATACAGCAGAGGACAGGCGAACTGTAATCTGCTGATACTGGCAATAAGGGGAGCCCAAAGCAAATAGCTTAGCTTGCTGGAGTTATTGCTTCTGTAATGATGAGTAAATAGCATTTGATAGAAATGCAGAAGGGACTGTTTCATAACCTGCCATGAGACTTTTCAGTGTCTCAAGAGTGAACCCTCACAATAGCTTACAAAATAATTCCTTCTTCACAGGCTTTCTAGCTGATGAAAGCTTAGCCTTGTGCTTTAAAGGAATTTGATCTGATGTATGAACACAAGCTGAGCTAGCTATAACATCCTGTTCGAATTCATATGACAAGTCCATGAGCAAGATGGGCATAGAAAATGGCTACTTCTAGTCCTTAATGTTAACTACTACAATTATTTTCTTTTCCTGTTTGGAATAGCACCTTTATTTCCCTTTCAAGAAGCCTGTTTTACACTTATCATGTACAATTGATTTGTTTCTAATGTGTTCAGAGTTTATAAATTAGTAACTGAGTCTTTCTTTGACACTGAAGTTTTACACTCTCCTTGAGAATGGGTTTGCATGTAACATGAAAAATTTTTAACACCACACCTAATTACTTCAAAAATATCAGAAAATGTTTTTATCAATAATCAGAAACACATCTCTTCTGAAATAAATCAAAGGAGAATGCAGAAAAAGGCAGAGGGAAATAGAGTGCTGTGGGGTTGGTGGCTAGACAACGTAGGGGGTGCAGGGAGGGCAGGGAGAGTGGGAGTGAAAGGGCATGCCTACTTTGTCAGAAGGTACAAATGGGGATCCTGACACACAGAAGAATGACATTAGTCCTTGACCTGGGAAGATGGCTGTCGAGATTTCATGCAGTAGAGCAGATGAGAAAGGGACAGGCTACTTAGGTGCATGTGATGAGTCTGAACTACTGATGTAGCAGAGGGCACATCTACAGTGCATGTTGTGTGCAGATGCGAGCTGATGTAAAGGTTAAGCTTGATGCTGCACTAACACAATTGTATTCTCTTTTTGTTTTTGTTATTTTTTAGGAGCAAAGCAGATCTACCTTGTGATAGCTTGCAGACAGCTTGTGTCTCTCAATAGTGTTTTGGGCAGGCATATGAAAAAGCACCTGACTTCGAGCTAGCCTCTGTGGGGTTTTGGTGTTAAAAACATTAGTGTTTAATGTATTTTACTTCAACTCGTGTATTAACAAATGTACTAATTAAACCATAGGGGTGGCAGCAGTGGTGTAGGGCATGCTGGCTTGCAAAAGTGACTGACCTCAGATAGCTAATGGGATGGCAACGGTGTACTGGCACAGATTTGCCTCAGAGATTGGTCAATAGTTAACTAGGAAGAGCAAAGCTGTCCTAAAACTGGATGCAATCAACACTGAAACTCTCAGTGCTGTTTCAAGATAACTTTTGGATTAGAACTGCATCTTAAAACATTGTTTACTGCCTAACATGATGGATGCACAAACTGATGCACATCTCTCAAATTAGCTGACTCATGAGCAGAGATACTGATCTGCTTGCTACAGAAAACAACCAACATTTTCTTGTCCTTTATGGATTGGGGTGTGGAAGGGTAAGGCACTACTCCCATGGAGGATATGGAAGTCAGAACGGTGAGACCAGTTCAAAAACATCTCTTCTTTAATTGAGCATGGGGCACAGCTCTGTTGATATGTCTTTCTCTGCAGCACACTGCCACTTTCATCCAGGACTGTCTCAGGTCCCTGACAGTGCCCCAGTCCAGACCTAGTGCCCTTGCTACTGATCTCCTTATGGTTTAACATGTAATTCTCAAAAAAGCTCCTCTCACCCTGATTTCCTGTGCCTTTATTAATTTGTATCATATACAGCTGTTAGTAAGCATTTAGGAGCTAATGTAGAAACAAAAGTTTTAATGTATTTATTTCAATGTGTTCCATATTTATTTAATAAAAATTACAGGAACCCAATAATATTCAGAGGTTTACCTTTCAAAATGTAGATAATCAGTAAAGAACAAGTTTCAAAAATTATAAAATGATCAGTTTTCAGGTTTTTTTTCTCACTTCTATGTCTATGTTTAAAGAATGAATACCCACATTTATAAAATACTCTTAAGCCAAGAACATGAATTTCCACAGGTATCCCAAGGGGGGAGGGAGGGGAAGGGGGAAAGCATCCTTGTGATGCAACTCTTTGAATTAAAGTAAATCTATTCTAACTGATGTCTTAACCTTATCTCAATCCATAGTCACATTTCTGCAGAACAAAGTAGTTTACTTCTAGAGTAACTATTCATTTATGCAGAAGTACATGGAGCTAGGTTCCCAGCCTAAGATTCTCCCTCTCATGAGAGTTCAATTCATGTAGCTACAGCTGAAGTTCTTCTGATGAACATATGTATTCATCACATAACATAATTTGTTTTCAAATACTGCTGTTCCCCCACCATATTTGTGAAGTAGATTTCTTTGCAACTTTACTGATGTTTTCTCTGATCATGGTCGTATCTCCAGTTCATCCTCTGAATAGCTGCCATTGCAGTATTTGACTCTGACTTCAGGGAAAGAAAGGCACCTCACTTTTGTCTTTGTAGCTATTTAGGTTTTCCTTATAGCTCCATTTTTGAAGGAGAGGTACATACATCAAATGGAAAAGTGAATCCATATATATAATTGATGCTATTTAGCACCAGTCATTCCTTTAGATTTGTTTGGGTTTAGTCATCCATTGCATTGCCATTTACTTTAAGATACAAGCAAACAGACAAAACCAAAAGCTGGCTGTCAAGTTCAGCTGTAGCAGTCTAAGCTAGTTGCAGTGGTCTGACGGTTGATAAAAAGCTTCATGTATACAACAATGTTTTTCACAGCTTTGAAGGCATAATCTACACTTACCGTATCTTCAGGGAACAACACGGCTATTTTAGAATACAGGTGAGTAACCCATTTAATCTGTAAAAGACTGCACTAAAGATCATTGTCTTGATTTTTAAAAAAATATGCATACACACATTACCTTACAAAATACTTCCAAATTTTATTTTTTCTGTACTCAATTCTTGACTTTTTAATGTTAGACTTACATATGAGCTCAGAAGTAGCTGTTATGTTTGTAGAATTCTTATAACCTAAGTGGATCTGTTGCTTGCTGACCATCTGCTTTCTGATTTGACCATTTCTTTTTGATAGCACTGAAGAAAAATCTATCACATTAATCACTTGCTCCTGTCCCTGATCAGCTTTTTCTATTTGAAAGCTCTGCCATTGAACCCAGCATCTTTTAGGGATTTGGAATATAGCAATGGTCTTTTTGATTTAAAGAGACCTATCTATAATTCTGTGCAACTCTGAGGCACCTGAATTGATGACCCCAGATAATGCTGCTTATTCCTCCAACAAGAGTAAGAGCAGACTTCGTCCATCAAATCCCTCAGCAAGGTGAAAGGACACTTAAAAGTTGGCTCCTCCATGTTAGTACAACAGCCAACAGGCCTGCCAACAATTAAGTAGCATTTAAGTGGAATGGAGGAGCTCACTCCATAAAAGACAAACCAAAAGGACACATGCTGGTAACTTCTTGCTTATTAGTGTTTTGGACTCAGTACGAAAGACAGTTTCCCATGAAGAAAAATGGTTTGTTGACAAAAAAAATAAATATCTATTTTGGACTATAGCCACTCTACTGGGGTTTGCTGTCATGCCTGTCAGCAGTTAATAGCTCAAACACTTAGTTTTTTCAAACCAAATTTTCCTTACAATGTTTTGCAAAAAATGTGAGAGTTCCATTCTTCAATTTTTTAAGTCAGACTGTTTTGACTGATTAAAATAACAGGGTGATATAATATATTGATGGTGGAGGGTTAATTGTTTGGGTTTTTTTAAGGGCACCAAACAGGTGTCCTTAGTGTTTTAGGGATATTAAAATATTCTGTCACCAAATCTGTTTACAAAACAGATCTTTGGTAAATAAGAAAGAGCCTATTATTCTTTTTTGTTTAGGAGACTTGATGGGAAGGGTAGTTGCAAACAAGCCTTATTTTCCTTTCCTTGCAGTGTTCTGAAGGTGTTCCACAGAGGACCTTCAGAACATTAAAGGACCTAATACACGTTTATGAAAAGCCAAATCAAGGACTTGTAACAAACCTCCGCTACCCAGTAAAGAAACCAAGGGCCTCACAAAGAAGCCAAAGTTTCAAGTCAGGAAAGGATAACATTTATGATGGTAAGAAATTCAGCTCTGCCTTTATGTGTTCTTTTTTTTTTTTTTTTTTTTTTTTTAAAGACAACTGCATTGACCAGTTTGTGATGAATAGTTGTTACATGTCCTCTGAGACCAGCTTATGTTCTCTTATGTTCTCTCTTCCGTTCCCTGGAAAAGGGTTATTCACATCTCACAGGTTACATACCCTCATCCATTACAAAATAAGAAGTTGAAATTGCAAGAGATAGAGAAGACAAAGCATGATGTTGCCCACAGCTCACTCCTTCATGGATATTGATGTTTCTAGGCTAGGGAAGGCTGAGGACCAGTGTTACCCAATATGGTTCTGCCAAGCTGCCAGGCCCCTGTGCTTCACTGGAAGTAGAGGCTGTCCTTTATCTTCATTGTTCAGGCTGAAAGCTATTTTTAAACCAAAATCTTAGTTATTTTTTAGATGCTGGGGGGCAGAGGAAGAAAAAAAAAAAAAAAGCTAGACAGCTTGTGTTTTGTTGTGATTTGTATTAAAACATGACTAATATTTTTAAGTTAAAATTTGAAAATAAGAAGCAATAGAGGCTTGTGGTCAGGATCACAGCTTTGAAACCGAGGGTTCAGTCTCTGGCTGATCGGCTGATTTACGCTCCCGAGGCACAGGTATGAGATGAGGACACAATGTGGGCCAGCCTCTCTGTGCTGCAGTCAAACCTCCCGTCAGTACCACAGATGCTGGTTTTTTGCACTCAACAACAGTTCAATAGTTCTGGTGCTCCCTCCATCAAGCGGGCAGGATAGGAATCATAGAATGGTTTGGATTGGAAATGACTTTTAAAGATCTAGTCCTACACCCTGCAGTGAAAAAGCACTTCTTCAACTAGACCAAATTGCTCAGAGCCCCATTCAACTTGATCTTGAATATTTCCCGGGATGGGGCATCTACCACCTCCCTGGGCAATCTGTGCCAGTGTTTCACCACACTCATTGTAAAACACGTCTGCCTTATATCTAGTCTAAATCTGCCCTCTTTTAATTTAAAACCATCACCCCTTGTCCTCCTGCAATACGCCTAGCCAAAAAGACTGTCCCCATCTTTCATACAGGCCCCCTTTAAGTATTGGAAGTCTGCTATAAGGTCTCCCCAGAGCCTTCTCTTCTCCAGGCTGAACAGCCCCAACTCTTTCAGCCTTTCTTCATAGGTAAGGTGTTCCAGACCCCTGATCATTTTTGTGACCCTCCTCTGGACCAGCTCCAAGAGGTTCATGTCTTTCCTGGAAGGTGTGAGCCCTCCACACTACTTCATCCGCAAAGCTGCATTTTTAGAGGCCAGTGCTGCAACAGCCTTGCTGGGAGAAACAGTGGCAAAGAGAAATTTCCAGTGCCTCCAACATTACATTATCACTTGTATCACAAAGGCAGATATGCAACATTTGCTCTAAAAAGGTTTTTATGCTGTCTTCAGGGAGATGGAAAATACTGCAATAGCATGGATATATTTTTACAAAAAAATCATGTGTAATAAGTATTTTATTGTCTGGTCCTACAACATCAATGTGTAGAAGATTCATAATGTCCCAGCCTGAACTTACAGGGAGGAAAACAAATCCTTTCATTTCACTGTCAAAATGTTGGTGGTTGTCCATAAAAATGAAGGTTTTTAGAAATAATCAAATTACTTCTGAATTGTGGTCATTAAATTTTAATTTCACTTGTACAGCATTCCAAGCTTCACCCTCCTGAGTGCTTTATTATGTGCTCACAGAGGCAGCTTAGGTTAATGTCATGATGGATATCTCTCTGAAATGTAGGTAGCACGTAAAACACCACAGTGCTTCCTAGAGAAAGCACCATGCTTTTCTGGCCCAGTCCTTCGTGTGGCACCAGCAGCTGGCTGCCTGGCACATGTGGGACTGAGCGCTCCAGTGTGACCAGTGAGATATCTCAAGGGACTGAGGTCACGAGGCTCGTTGCTGGACATTTTTGAACATTGTTTTCTAACCTAGGAACTGCTTGTCTGAGGGTGGCTGTGTGAAGAGATAGTAGGTTTCCATAGTGGAGACTGAGTCCCAAGCATTCCACTTCTGCCTTTCCCCAGGTTTCTCAAAAAACATAGTAAGTCTGGCAAGGTCTAAGAGAGAATATTTTTTTTTCTGGTTCTGCTCCATCAGTTGGGAGGAGAGCTTTGCTGTTGGCTATTTATTTAGAGGAGGAAGGGTGTGTTATGCTACAGTCATAGCTATCTCAGCTATTGATCTGATTGACTAGGTGTGGATCATTTCTGACATCTGATTGTTCCTCAGGAAGAAGGGAGCTCACAAGGATACATCTGTTCAATAACAGAGCTTGCTGGCTCAGAAAACACAATGCAAGCTATGCCTCTATATGGGCTCCTGGAGGACACAGTCCATAGGACACGAGACTTAAACATTGGTCCTGCAATACCAGAGGGAATACCAAGAAACCAAACTGAGTTACTGATACCTGCCCAGCAACATGACCTCAGGCCATTGTGCTCACCATGGACTTTCAGAGGAGCGACTTGCAATAGCAATGTCTTTTTTAAAAAATTAATTTCTTTACAGACGTTGATGACAGCGACTACATCTCTGTCCTACCTGACTGATCTACAGCCTGACGATTTGGGAAGCAGATGTTCCAGGCTATGCCACAGCACAAGGGATCAGCTTGGAAGAGCTGCCAGCTGGGCATCCTCGACTGTGAATCTGTACCTCTGGAATTAGTCTCCTCCTTTTGCAGACTGTCAGAGCACCTGTATTTTCTCCCAGTAGATCCAGTATAAGCAACTATCTCCTTCTGTTCAGCAGTAAACTAATTCATAACAGACACATGCATGCATATACATGTACATACATATGGGGGGAAGGATATTTGTGTATCTGTGTGTATATTTTGGTTTTTTAGTTAGCACTGTTTAAGTATGTTACTGCACTGTTAAATCTATGCCATAAAGAACAACATGAAAATGGTCTGAAATACTTTTAGTACTGATGAATGGCTCTGGGAGATTACCAGAGGAGTGCAAGTTCTACATGCATGTCCGTATGAACACATCCTTTTTTTTTTTTTTATTAGATACTGTGCATATGAGAATGCTTCCTACATTTCATTTGCTACTGCCATTAGCTCTGTATTATAATGTGTATGAGGCTTTGCTTTAATCTTATTAGTAATTTTACATATTTAATATACACTTTTGGTCTGTGGCCTGGAACTAGCAGCCAAAGCTGGAACTGGAACGAATGTCCTGATTCCCCCAGACACTAGTACCAGTTCTATCTCTGAGATCTTGAGGAAGACATTTGAATCAGTTGTGTGTTTAAGACGTTACATAAATTATGTCTTTTAATGGGTAATACCACTTAGACTTCTTTCTATTATGTTTCTTTCAGCCCCTATTTGTCAAAGTACTTTTAGATCTTTCAATGCTTTGGACTTCATTATATATTTAGCAGTGATAGGTTTTTACGTTTTTGGTGCCAGGCTGGTACTTCTAGAATAAAGGAGACAAGAAAAAAAAGAAAAAAAAAAAAA